CCCAGGGATCTTATCTTCTTGCAGTGGTGCTTACCACTAGGGAAACATTCTCATTCTTGGCAGTGTTGTCCTGCTACCCTTTTTGGTATCTGCAGGTGGGTAATCTTTTCTCGTGGAGTACACTTTGACCAGAACAAGGTACGTATGGTGCTTCAGTGTACTATAAAAGGACATCCAGGCACTTAAGCCAGTGTTGTGTGTCAAGACTGAGGCTGCTTTTGGAACTTCAGTAGTAGCTGCTGAGCATTTTTTGATTATCTGTCAACAAAAACAACCACAAAGGAGAAGTAAACATAAAATGACCATTTAACAGGTGGATCAAGAGAATATAGCCTTACTGAGCACACATCTATTAATACATACAGTGTATTTAGGCCTTTTCATTCCACTGTTTTCTAAGTGCTCAGTTGCCTGTTTGATCTTCAAATCTGCTTCCCTGTCCCAGTTGAGCTCCCTGGATCTTAGGCCAAGACTGCATGCTAGACCTCAGTTTTTCTACAAGTTGGGAATAAATCTCACCCTTTTCAAACACTAAGCACTGCTAGGCACAGTGATCAATTTGAAGACTAACAAAAGTTCTTTCAGACAAGACAGAATGCTACACTTTGGTGTTATTGACATTAAGCAATCCTTAGGGCAAGTCAGATTATTTTTAAGCAGCGTGCATCATTTTTCAAATGGGAAAACAACCCACTATGTAATGACTGTTCAGCTTTAGTCCTTGATGCAGACATTTTGGAATATACATGATCATTTTCTAAATAAATCAAACCCTTTGATAACCTAAATTAGTCAAAGACTTAGTGCAGTACTACATTTTTTTTTAGTGTTGCACTATTTGATTGATTGCATTATTGGTGGTTGTGCAATAAATTGGAATGCTGACTTGATAGGTTAGGGATTTTAAGTAGTTTTCAGCGCTGAAGTTGGTAGATATGAAATCCTATGCTATTCTAACTTATATTTGCCAGTAACAGCAACTTTAAGCCATGATAGAACCTTCTGCAACCTTTACTAGGTTAGCCTGACCAGTCATAGTCCAGTCCAGCAAGCATATTTATGTACTTTGTACTAATGCAAGCATACAAGATAACCGGTGTTTACTACATTTTAGCCATTTGCCACTCTCATCAGCAGAGTACCATTAGAACACAAGCATTTTGTTTTTTGTTTGTCATTTTTGTAACATCTTCCTCCCAGCTATATTTATAACTTCTAACGGATACCATCTCGCTTATGCCTATCCAGTGTACACACTGAGGTGTTTTGCTCTTTGATCAGAAAAAGATTGATGTACGACCTCTGCTCTCGTTCCTCTGGTCTCCTGTGTGCCCTTTCGCTTTTTATATCTTTCTGGACATCTTTAACTTCAGTAATGAGAATTTTATTTATCTCGGCTCCCAAACAAGCCACAATATTTGTTCAACTTCATTAGTGTAGTTTTCATGCATCCAATCTTTTGAGATCAGTGTACACTAATTGGATGTATCTTAAAATGCTAATCCAGTAGAGGGATAACCATGAAAATAGGGAGAACAGATGTAAACTTACGGAATTTGAAAAAAAATTGAAAAGGGAAATGAGTATAGCACTGCTCAGGGACGTCTCTCAGCACCCAATAGGATTGTGTCTTTCACTTGTGCACTGTGATAAAGAAGCAGTTGCTTTCAGTATCGGAGATGTATCTTTATGCATTACAAATTATACTGTCCGCATGTATTTCCTAATGTGTCCTTATAGAAATAGGACAGAATATGTATAAGTAAACATTTTCCTTAACAGTTTGTTGTGATGCTTTTATTAGACCTTACTCTACATATTCCTAAAAAAAACATTGGTTTTCTTAGAACGTATGCATACCTACATCTTGGTTACATCTCAAAAGCTGCATGTTTATCAAAAGTGTATTTTTCTCATGTCTTATTTTTATAATCTTTTCCACTTAGATGGTGCAGCCAGAGCCAGCTCAGCTCTCTTCAATGAAATGAGGAATGCCGTATTTGGGAAGGTGGCACAGAGTTCTATCAGGAGGATTGCCAAAAATGTATTTTTACATCTACATAATCTGGACCTGGGCTTCCATCTAAGTAGACAGACTGGAGCGCTGTCTAAAGCTATTGATCGGGGTACAAGAGGCATCAGCTTTGTGCTCAGTGCCCTGGTGTTTAATCTGGGGCCCACAATGTTTGAAGTTTTCCTCGTTAGCAGCATATTGGTATGTTCTACCTTTAAACTTTTTTTTTATCTTTTAGATATAAGATGAGGAACCGCAGAGTCTTTAGGTACAGAGGTCTCATGTAGATAGGGTTTTATGTTCTCTGCACACATTCCTTCCCGCATGTAAGAGAATAAACTGTGGCTCTTTTATATATTGTGCCCATGTGAGCATAATGGACTTGGAATGAAGTAACGAATGTAAGAATCTCCTGTCCTGATTTTTGTTCCATGACATGATGTGCACATAAATATAGTTCACACCCTGCACAAATAGTTAATTTTTAGTGCTGCACTAAAACATGAAAGTAAAAATACTAGAGTGCTTGCAGCTCATTAATATTTAATTTGAGCAAACGGTAGATAAGCGCAGTAGCTTTTTACCCAATAGTGCATGTACTGCTTGCCTGGATGTTTCACAAAATTTGGGCAACCCAATTACCATTTTAGAATTTAGGTTTGCACAGCATTACATTCATACGATTTGAGCTCTTGATGAAAGATTGCTTTTTTTTTTTTTTTAGCAGAATTAAAATTGGAAACAAAAAAGATAGAAAATCAATAGACTGTACATGATTAGCTAGCATTCAAGTGAAAGATAATTTATAAACATGTTTTGGGCCACTTTATAAAGTGTTTTGGTAAACTTGATGCTCTAAACAGCCTGTTTATTAAGCAGATAGACCTCTTTTAATTTTATCCTTTACAATGTCCCCTAGAGACAGCATACAAAATAGTGAAGTTTTAGTTTGTATTTGTCCAAAAACTGTGAATTCACTACCCACACCCAGGTTTCTTGTGTTCTGTTTTTAACTAACCTTTTTACAAAGAACAAAAAAGTGGTGCTTTTTATGGGTTACCCAAACTTGGTCTCCAACCACACCCAAATGTTACTATCTTTTATAAATTATTTTAAAGGATGTGCTTCAAGGGGAACTAAACCCTCCTACCTTCCAAGTAAGGCCCCATCTTAGCCTCTATTTACATCTGCAGTTGCCAAGGTGTTGCACATGTGACCAACAATGACAGAAGTCATTTGAAGGCTTGAAAGACTGGTTGAGAACTGACCTAAGCATACTGGCCACTGTGACACCTGTCACCAGAGGCATGCCTTGAATGAAGCATACCTTGCACTAGTAGGGAGAATATAAATTAAAACCACATTGATATGTTTAAGGGTTTAATATAATTTATTGAACATTTCTAACTTGAGCTTTTGTTTTGGAAAACAGTTAATTTGGTGGGTTTAATTCTCTTTAACCTCTAATTTAATTCTCTTTCATACCCTAATTAAATGCCTCATTTTGCAAATATGTCTCCTTAACAAGAAAAGGAGTACCTGGGTGTGGTACAGGACTAGGCTCACATAACCCATATAACACATCACTTTAATTGTGGGAATACTTAAATAATACATGTTTTGCCAATGTTTTTGTTTGTTTTATGTTTAACATGTTGGCTGTTTTTTTTTTTTTTTTTTACTGTTTTAAACTCATGCCAGGGAGATTAGCTATCATTACACTTCCAGCACTCTGACAGGAGAATTGTGGCTCTCCTACACACAAACTGTACTGTACGCCCCTCCTCTTGTCCATTCATTGAATTCTTTCTATTCTGTGAACCCATTCACAAAATGGAGGGAGCAGCCATCCTAAATAATCTGCCCCCACTGCTCCACAAGTGCAGGCCACTGCTATCCCAAGGGCCGAGCCACAAAGCTGTTCAGCGTGGGCCTTTTTAAAAAAAATATCTGCTGCTGACAGCACTGCTGTGGTCTGCAGGCTCTGCAGCATATCAACCACAGTAAAGGTACCAGCTATTTGGGCATCACATGCATGAGGCAACAGATGACTCCTGCACCACAGAGCTCAGTGGGAGCAGCACTTTAAGAGACAAGTTGGCAGCAAAAGATCCACACTCCTTATTCCTCATGTTTCTTGTTACCCACCCTTTCCCCTCCACAAGATTCTCCTGCTGCATCCATCTGTGGGTTCTAGAGATGGAGGGAAGTCTCACAAGGGGTTTCATAGGTCCATGTTGAATAGGTTCAAGCAGACTTGAACCTGTAAATAATTATTTTGCACCCACCCTGCTGTCTCCAGCTGCATTCTACCCAGTGTAGGTTTCTCTTTCACAGCTGCTAAAGTAGAAGAAAAAAATGGCCCAAAATCACTCCCATGCCCAGCATCTTAATTCCAGCTTAGCAAAACTGCCAAGCAGCTGCTTCCATTCCAGCTTTAGAAATCACCTCTTTCTAGGAGTTTATGGCCTGTAAGTGGCAGGTACCCAGCTGTCATTATTTTGCCCAGAAAGTCACCCCTGTCCTCCACCAGCATGTGCAATGTGTCTGTGTAGCTAGATCACTCTGTCAATGGCAGAGTACACATGGCCAGGGACACATGATCCAGCAAGCATTGGCAAGGGCAAACACTGGGTCAATTTTTCCTTTAGCTGGGAAGTACACAAGACAGGACACACCGGTGGGGCTGGTGGTGATGCTACGCATCTTGTCCATTGGTGACCGCACAGTCACCTGTACCCCTCCTCCTCACTGGTTTCATACTCTGACTCCTTGGAACCAGTAGGTTCCCCCCTAGTGCCCTGGGACATTTGCAACATCCCAGTCTAAATTCTGTTCTACAGCTTGTATGTGACAAGAGCCACATGGGGCCTGAGCTTCTGACAGCTCACCAAACCCAGGTGCCTGACCCCATGCCATCTTCTGCCAGGCAAGGTCACCTGTGACAACAGCACAAACCTGCTGCAAGAGAACATTTACACGTATTCCTTGCCTGGCACATGTCCTTAGCCTGGTGGTTCAGATGTTCCTTTTTGGAGGTCCTTTGTCAGACTAGAAAGGTTTGTGCCACTTTAGTAGGTCATATCTGGCCAATGTTTACCTTGCAGCAATGCAGAGCCAACACAAGCTGCCAGCCAACTGTCTCATCTGTGATACCCCCACATGCTGGAACTCCGCATTGGACATGCTGCAGAGGTAGCAGCAGCATGCCATGAATGAATACCTATGTATGTGATTTATGGATCAAGGATAGGCCCTAAATAGGTGGGGTTATTTTCACCATCTTAGTGGCTTGCAGCATTTTGACACCTTTATTGATATAATCCCTCTCGTGTTCCCCCAGGAGCATACACTCTGTGGCCTGATAGACCAGGCACTGGAGGCACAGCAGCAGGAGGAAGAGGTGGGCTTGCAGGATGCTTTGTCTACTGCCTCTATCCCTGTGAGTCAGAGGCAACAGGAGGCAGAGGGGGAATACAAGAAAGCTTGGTGTGCTGGCAGTGAGGAGGAGAGATGGGGCAGACTTTTCAATGTGGAAGTTTCCCGCCAAACCCTGGGATCTGTATGTGGATTGAGTAAGATTGTTGAGGACAGTGCTACCCTCCCTGATTCCAAGGACTTGGGTTCTCTTATTGGATCCAATCTACTGCCACCATATTGGAATCTAATCTACTGCCACCATCGCAGAGAGTGCCCAAAATAAAGCAGTTGAAGGAGGTGCTGCATAGGAACCTGTTTCCCACATTTCCTAATAATGGCAGGATCCCCTCTGAAGGTTTTATAGCCCAAACAACCTAAAAAATCCTTTCTTTTCATGTTGAAATGAATCAGATTGGGGTGCTTCTAGTATATTTAATTAAATCTAAATGCACATCCAAAATATGTGATGGAGCAATATGGTGTTGCTGGTCCTGTCTTTGAAAATCATATTGTTCTGTAGCACCGCATAGACCTTAAAGGCATCTCCCATACATTTAAAATGTAAAGCATTGTATTTTTCCCCATGTCACCTTTTGAAGTCGCAGTAAAAGGACCCTCTCCAAACCGTACATTTTTTTTTTTTCCTTCCAACAACAACAAAAAGATGGCTATACAATTACAACCATGTCAGAGGATGATTACAGGACATAATACAAAGAAAACAGATGAAATACCTGCTTTGTAGAGCTGTTTTAATGCGCCATTGAGGGTTTGACTGTTAAATGTGATGTTTTAATCATTAGTAAGTTGTCAGACACCAATAGCTGGAAAGAACACTGGCTGTGCAGGGTATAGTAAACCAAGCAATGAGTGGAGAAACAGAACAAATGGATTACAGGTAGAGAGAAGAGAAAGTGGAAGTAAAAGAGGAAACGGAGGATTCAGGGAATAGAGAAAAAAAATGGCAATTTTTGTTTAACTGTCCCCATAACAGTACCCAGCGCCCTCCTGGCCTTTTTTAACAACTTGCTGACCAGGGTGTTAAACCCCCTTTACTGTCCAGGATATTTTCCAGTATTCAGCGCTGCGGTACTTTGACATTTATTCCATCATGCAACGCTGTACTGGAATTAATTTTATACCATTATTTGGGAACAGATAGAGCTGTCACCCCACTGGGGTTTTTTATTTTTTACTATGTAAAGAATACAGTTCTGAAAATTTTGAAAAAAACACTGTTTTCCCTACGTTATATTATGAAACATTCATTATTATCCAATTTTTTTGTAAAATATAAAAGGCTGGGTCAGGTTGGATAAATAGGCACCAAACATGTCAAGCTTTAAAATTGTGTACGCCCGCAAAATCGCAAAAAACTAGCCATGCCTAAAGTTGGCCATAGCCGACACTTTAAAAGCTTTTACTGCTCATCAGTTTAGTGTTATCAGTGACTAATGGCCCTAAAATTATTGCTCACACTACCACGTTCACGGCGATGTGTAACGTGTGTGGCATAATCGTTGTTTTCGCACGTAGGCTCACCCGACGCATATTTATCATTTATATGTACGTGCATGCGGGGGACTTGCATTTTTTGGGTGTTTATTATTTTAACTTTTTTTTTATATACTTTATTGCTTTCACATAGGTGCCTAACAAGCCTCCTATGTAATATGCTCCCAATATACAATGACAGGTCCTCTTTATGGCGTCTCTATGACCCCTATTGTTACCTTTTGGACCCCTACATCAGCTTCTTCTCTGGCTATAACAGCCAGAGAAATGACATTGCTGGGGGTAGGGAAGTGCGGAAGCAGAGGGGGGGAAGCTTTTTAATGTCATACAAGCAATCGGCCGGCTGTAGAATCCAAGCGGCATTTTGCTTGCGCATGCCCACGAGCAGAAACAAATTACGTACAGGCACGTCCACCTGCTGGGAAGAGTCTGCCGCCCACCCGTGTTTTCACAATGGGCGGACGGCAAGTGGTTAACAATGGTTTGCCTGTAGGCCCTAAAAATGGGCAGAACTTATTCCGTTTTGTTCACCCTAGATGGGGTTTGCTGCTAAGTTTGGGTTTTGTGGATTTCAAGCAGAACTAAAAAAAAAAGTTTTGGCTTTACACACATATTAGCATTTGTGTTTAGGTGCTGCTCACAATGTTGTCACACTTGGAGAGAGCAGTTGTACTGTTTTTGACATATTTATCTGCTGCTCCGGGCCATGAATCTGTTTTGGGGTTTTATTTGGTGGAGGAATAGCATTTGTGCTTTAAAAGTAACAGTTGTTTAAATACTGTAAGTTGAGAATTCTTTCTATTTCAGCTAATGTTATATTTATATTTTTGCTAACAAGAAATACAATAGCTGTCACGATAAATGATCCAAACCTGTGTCTGTGTGACCTTGGGACATCTCTCTGGTGGGCTGCATTGAAAATAGTAGGCCCTTTTTATACAGCCAAGGCCATAAAAACCTTGCATATTGTGTGACTGCTATAAACACAAGTCTTCAAGTGTTGCAGGTAATTTTTGTTTTTTGGTTGTTTTTTTATTTAAATTTTGACAAATATCTTGCTTTTTCCTGTGTATGCAGTATTACAAATGTGGAGCCTCGTTTGCACTTGTAACAATGGGGACCCTTGGAGCTTATACAGCATTCACCATCGGAATCACACAGTGGAGGTAATTGGACACTTAATTGCCTTTTAATTGTGCTGCTGAAATGTGCTGTCCAGCCAATAAACAAGATTATTGAGGAGTATTGTATTACCTTTTAATTCATAGAGTGGCAAGAAAAAGTATGTGAACCCCTTGGAATTACCTGGTTTTCTGCAGTAATTTGCCATAAAATGTGATCTGATCCTTACGGCTGATTCCAGGTTTTTCTTAGCCCTTTCACAGTGATCTGTCCTGGGATTTGAAATTTGGAACTGATATTTGAGGATTGTGTTTCTCTGATAAGTTCATTACCATACAATGGACAAGCCACCTCAGATCCCTCAACCATCACAGCCCCTCCTAACATTTCAAAGGAAGAGAAGCATGAGGAGATTTTAACCCTTAAAAACCCAACCACAGTAAAAGCAATTTAAACTGCAAGAAGTATTTTTTTTTTTTTTTTTTTAGCTTATGCTATGTCATTGGGAACATGTAACAAATATAAAATAGGTGTTATCCCAATTTGGCTGCAAAAGTGGCAATACACTTTAAGCTGATAACTCACACAATTTTAATTTTGCGTTTCATTATTGAACACATCCATTAAACATTCACCGTGTTGGAGGAAAAAGTAAGTGAACCCTTGGAGTTAATAGCTGGTTGGACCTCTTTTGGCAGCAATGACTTCAAGCAAGCACTTTCGGTAGCTTTGGATCAGACCTGCACAATGTTCAGGAGGAATTTTTGACCATTCCTTTTTACAAAATTGCTTCCCATACTTTTTCTTGCAACTGTATATTGAAGGGAGATGTTGGCAGGCATACATACTGTATCTATCACACTGCCCTCTACCTGGCTTTCATATGTTATGATTTTATATTAAGTCATTAAAAAAAAATTGTAGACACAAATTTGCACACGAAAAAAAAATTGTAGACACAAATTTGCCGCTATATGGTTCAGTGCTCATAATTTAAGTGCAACTGCAGCCAAAACATTTGATAGAGTGGGGAGGGATTAGATATACTGTCTGTGTCCCTGTATGGGGGGGTTCACCCTTTCTATTTGTTGTGGTGACATCTGGTAACCATGCTGACTACCAGGGATTTCCCTCACTTTGGAAGAGTTTCCTCTCACTTCCTGTTGTGGCAATCCATCAGGAAGTGAAGGGAAATCTCTGCAATTGGACACAGATGGCAGGAATTGCTGATGGGGTTAAAACCCTCCCTTACTCTATCCAAAACTAAAAAAGAGTTTTGACTTCAGTTCTACTTTTAATGTAAATATAATCATTTCATAATACTATGTAGTCTTGATTCGAGTGAGATGTCACCACTAGTTGACCACGGTCCTCATTTTGCAAACATATTAAAGTGAAAATGAGACATCAGACAGCAAATAAACAATTTAGATACATGTATGGGAACTGTTTTACTTATCAAAGGATTTGTAATTGTGTTCAGCTTGTGGGTTACACAAATTTGATATTGTACAGACCTAGTCAGACATACCCACTCCCTACCTCTGCAATTCAAATCTATGTAGGGATACTGGTGATGAGTGGAGATAACGGAGTACTCTAAGGCGTTTTCCAGACACAAATCATAACATGCCTAGGTGTGAGAATTTAATTGGGACTGTAAAGAAAATATGTTCTTATAGAAATAAAGGCGTTGTCAAACCACGCACAGGAACACATCAAAAACGCACTGCACCACATTTGCAGATCTGGTCCAGACATGGTGTGAACTAGCCCTCAGTCAGAACTTCTAACCTGCATAATTGTTCCAATCAGTTCCTTATAAAGTATTAAAGGAACTGGGTTAGCATGAGAAGACCAATAACTAGTTGCAATGGCAGCCTCCATATTTTCTCTGTAAAGGTTTCGTGTGAAATTCTCATTCATCCTCACCACTACTTTTATGTCCATAAATTGCATTACTGATGTGCTGTTTTGCCTAATACATTAATAGGACGAAGTTCAGAATAGAAATGAATAAGGCTGATAATGAAGCTGGAAATGCTGCTATTGATTCCCTTCTAAATTATGAAACTGTTAAGGTAAGAAATAATAGTAGTAATACTAATACTTTCTTTTTGGTTTTATGTCACGCTCATTAAATACAGTTGAAGGTTTACAGATCGTGGGTTGCCTCCCTGTGGGAACCTTGTTAACACCTCTCCCCCTAAGATAAATGCATTTAGAAAAAGTAGAAAGTAATAGGGTTTCTGGAGGGGTGTAGTTAACCATCCAAGAGAGATTTACTAAAAAAATATATCAAATTTTATTGAGGTATACCTAGTATAAGGTTAAAAATCGATACACTTCATGTATCTTACAGAACCCTGCATGGGATTTGTTTGTATAAATATATAATCACTAATTTAGTACATATATACTGATATAATCCAAATATTCAAAAATAACATGATCCAAATATTCAAAAATAACATGATAACGATCGCAAAATTTACAGCAATATAATTTGCCCATATGGTGGCTTAACTTAATAGGTTGAGATCTAACAGTAGGTCTAGATCTAACAGTAAAGAAAATTATTTGTTTAGACATACATTGAGTTGAGATCACAGGCATCTATGAGTAGGCAATGTCAGGTTTGTATATATGGTCCGTTTTAAACAGATTGTTATATACGATCAGTCTCCATGGGTCTGGTCATTAAGTACTCACCGTGCAGGGTTAGTTTGCGAGGTAAGGGAGACACCTGGAGGATCGAGAAAGCGGAATATGGATTGCCCCACCGCCACATCCAAGATCTCCCTTTATGTCACGCCTGGGACCTCAGGGCTATATAAGGAGAGATGACATCCAGTCGTTCAGCCAGCTCCACTGAGATGCTTTATGAAAAATGAAGTATGTTGGGAGAAGGCCCGGCTGGGTGTTAATGTGATCCTATTGAATCTCCCTGTTGGATAGAAGGAGTAGGGCGTGTATGTAATGGTTGTCATCAATTATCCTGCCTCACTCCTAGTCTGGGTCCTATCACCTGAGTCTAGCCCAGGTGTCCAGTGTGTGTATATTAGATTTGTTTTGGTTAGTCCTACAGGCCAGCTCCTGGGTTGTGTGAGATCACCACTGAGTGTGAGTGATGTGTGTCTACATTGGCATTCTGTGTGTGTGTATATATACGTAGTTTCTATATGAAACAGAGTTTCTGTACAGAAAAATGAGGAAAGAAGAAGAAAAGAAAGATTGAAAAAACAAAAAGCAACCCAAACCAAAAAGCAGAAAACAAAAAGGAGAAATGGAGATGGAGAAGATCCATTGTGATATGAAATATATGTGTATATATGTGCTTTGTGGTATCTCAATCGTTAAATTCTTCTATCCTCATAACAATGCATCTTCCAACATATGTATATATATCTCACAAGGTGTGCATGCATCGATATAGTGATTTGATTGTATTAAAGTGATTGGATAATTGTGTCCTTAGTGTGTATCCTTTCTGTGCTCATTTTGGTGAGTGGAAGCTAAGAGAAACTTGCATAATCTATTACCCATCTCCACTTAGTTAGTTGTACCCTTAGTGGGCGTGCTCTCTTAGTATTATATCCCAATTATGAAGCTACATTGACCTCTGCCCCCATAATTCCCATGGTCAACAATGTGGGCATGACCCAGTGTCCATTTGGGTCCTTCCCATAATCGTGATTATATATATATAGAGATATGGCTTTCCTACCTGGTGGTGTAAGTCTAGCAGCATGCCTCCATGGTGATCTCCGCTGGAGTGGTCCCATGCCATCCCTTCTTTTATATACCCTTCACCGCCGGCTCGGAAAGACCAGACCTCCAAGTTCCGGTCACCGAGAGGCGGTGTAGACTCCTCAAGGCGCATGCGCGATACTACGGCGCAGGCCAAAATACAGTGTTTACTTTGCTGTCACGTACAGTGATAATTGTGGCTAATTTTCTGTCTGTACCTAGAGACACTATCAATTTGCTCATTCAGGGCAAAGTAGTCTTGTAAATCCACACCCGTCCCTTTGATACTCCCCTCCAGCGATCCCCACCACTCCTTCCTGCAACTTGGCCAACACCAAAATTCCTGGTGTAGGCTGAAGTTGAGGCGTAAAGGGAGCAGTGTGTCACCCTTCCTGACATTAAAGCCTAGAGGGGAGCAGTGTACTTACTCCTGCTGCTAGACCACTGCACTCCTCATGCCTCATGGGATGAGTTCACATACTCCCCATTACCCATAAGCACCAGGCAAGCAAGAATCTGAAAGTTAGTTCAACAGTTGCTTTTAAGTTAGTACACAATTTGAGGTATTACTGTAAAATTAACTAAAAATTTACTAATAGCTTTAATTAAATGGTAAATATCTTGCTACCTTCTCAGTAATGTTCTAAATTCCAGTACGGCTGAACCCCAAACGTGTTACTCGTGTAAATCACATGTGCAGTTTACATACACATACAGTATACACAATGTATGATTGTACCTTTTATATAAAAGGTGTCTATGGATTAGTAGCTGCGACTGTAAGCACTGCAAAAGGGAAAGTAATGGACAAAGAGCAAACCACCTAGAAACATGGGGAGTAGCAAGCTCACCTGAAATCTGTATGATTAATTACACCTTTTGTTTTATTCAGCTGCAAAACAAACAAACAAAAACCATTGCATTGTGCTCATGTACTGCTTGCCCAGTGCCATCCTAGTTGTGGTACTTACCTGGCTGCTAAATGTAAGGAACTGTGTAATGCTGAAAATACTCATAGTACTGCCTTTGGGAGCATCTGCTTTCTGTGCCTGACTAGTGGCTTCTAACTATGATGAATGGTCTCACCACTGGTGGGGTGAAGGAGGAAGTTGCCCATGCTCTCAAAGATGTGGTCATTAGACCACCCAGGATTTTGGGACACTTGTGGTTTTCTACATGGTGATGTGTCTTGCTACCATTTTTTAAACGCTGTTTTCTTTTTCTCTTTTAAAATAACTATAGGGTCCCGTTAGAATTGCTAATAGATGGTTCACTCTATGACCATATCCACTGTCTGTGCTGTTTGATACTTCTTTATTGTTAAGCAACAATATATAAGCATTGAGAGTAGCTTTCATGCCAGGTATGCTTAACTTTTCCATTAGTTAGATAAATAACATATGAGCTGTGAGAAATTGACACTTCAAATCTGAACATTAGCAGAGGGCCTTATTGACCTGTTTTAATTTACTATGTTGTGTTTTGTTTTCTTTTGTGACAGTACTTTAACAATGAGAAATATGAAGCAGAAAGGTACGATGGCTTTTTGAAGATCTATGAAAATTCTTCTCTGAAGACTACCTCAACACTGGCCTTGCTGAACTTTGGCCAAAGTGTAATATTTAGTGTGGGCCTGACCACTATTATGGTTCTTGCAAGCAAAGGAATCCTTGCAGGTTGGATAAGACTGGATTTGTATTTGTCTCACACACGCACACACTCTTTTTGTCTATAAAGAAAGTAGAAAATATAATATGGTGGTGTGTAAAAACCATGTATTTATGCATAATGTCATTTGCTCTCTTCAGGAAATCTAACTATTGGAGACCTGGTTATGGTAAACGGGCTTCTGTTCCAGCTTTCAATGCCCTTGAACTTCTTAGGAACAGTCTACAGAGAGACCAGACAAGCTCTAATTGATATGAACACACTCTTCACTCTTCTGAGTATAGACACAAAAATTAAGGTAGTTCTTCTTAGGTTTCATTTGTCTAAGGCCCCATTAACACCAGGACGACAACGTTTCATCACTGTTTTCGCACTTTTTTTTTAGTGTGTTTTTGCACGTTGTTTCATATTACAGGTGTTTTCTGTTCATACAGGTGAAACTCGAATAATTAGAATATCGTGCAAAAGTAATTGCAGTAAGTGCTTCAAAAGGGGCCCAAACCAAGTACTGAGTACATATGCATGCTTGTACTTTTCAGAGGTCCGATATTGTTCTATGTACAATCCTTGTTTTATTGATTGCATGTAATAATCTACTTTTTTGAGGTGGTGGATTTGGGGTTCTTGGGGTTTTCCTGAGCTGTAAGCCATAATCATCACAATTATGACAAATCACGGCTTGAATTATCTTGCTTTGCATGTAATGAGTCTATCTCATATATTAGTTTCACCTTTTAAGTTGCATTAGTGAAATAAATTAACTTTGCACGATATTCTAATTATCGAGTTTCACCTGTATGTCACCTTGTTTTTGAAGCTCGTTTTCAGTTTTCCAATGAGAAGCAGGCTCAGCTGCTTAAATGTGCATAAAAAACGCACGGAATTGTGGAAAAAAACAGCGCTGATCAGCATCTTTCCATTGAAGTCTATGGAACAAAACAAGCTGATCAGCGAGACAAAAGAAGCTCAGGGCCTATTTCAAGTGACGGGCATATTTGCACTTGCAATTCCGCGTGTTTGTGTGCACTACCCCATATGAAAGTATGGGATTTTATTTGCATGCATTTCAGTGTGGAAAAATCCGCCCTGGTGTGAACGGGGTGCTAATGAGGAGTTGGTTTGCATGTGTTATATTGGTAGATTATATTTTGCTGACTGAATGTACATGTCATGTGCACAACATGCTTCTGCTAATTTCTATAAGATTTTCCGACATGCTTGAAATGGGAAATGTGTTTTTTGTCTTCGCAAACAAAACTATTAAAATTGTCAAAGTTTGTGTAAAGTCACATTGAAAGTATTACAAATCTACAACACAATAAAACATTGCAGGTGTAGAGTCTTATCTTAAATTCAGTATGTTAACTGATGGCCATTGACTACAAACATTATAGTAAGGTTGCATCTTATTCCTATAATTTTGACAAAGTTCCGATTTAACAGCTACAGGTAAACACACCATGTACATTACAGAAACTGATCTTATGTAGAACCAGAATATTTCTCACAGCCCAGTAGTTCTGCTTATTATTTTACATGTACATTTTTCTTAACACTTATTAACAATGTACAGCTACTATTACTGCAACGTCTGTTACCATATTTGGCTATTGCAAATAAGATTTTTTAGGAGGCGGAACCAATATAGGGATCAAAAAGTTGCTTTCATTGAAAGATACAAAGAGAGGTGGTGTTTGAAAACAATAATGTTTGTAAATGATGAAATGTATAAATTTGAAAAAATACATTCAAATCCATCTTCTTTCTGCTGTTCTTAGAATAAAGACTTGGCTCCCACACTAGCGGTCACTCCTCAGACTGCAACTATTACCTTTGATGATGTCTACTTTGAATATTTGGAGGGACAGAAAGTCCTAAATGGTGTGTCTTTTGAAGTTCCTGCTGGAAAGAAAATCGCAATTGTTGGTGGCAGTGGCTCCGGGTGAGAAACTGACATTTGTGTTGGATCTTCAGATTTGGAGGGCTTTCTTTTAAATAGCTTACTAGTCTTTATCTAATATTCTTTAAATCTGAAACAAAGTTAACAAAAGAAAACTGAGGGCAAACCCTCAGCAGTAGGGAAAGGTTAATTTTATATAGATGTATCCTTTTGTTTCTTAATTAGTCGCTTGTTGTTATAAACCCCACCCAAAAAAAATCTTATAAGAATGCCCCTGAACCCCTCGTGACAGGAGACGTACAGTGCCCAAATGACTGGACGTACAGCGTATTTAGGGCTGAGAACAGCGGTTACCGTTCATTAATGGATGCCTCACTAACGAGGCATCTATTAATGAAAGATATAAGCATTTTCAGACACCCGATTGCTTTTAGTGATCGGGTGTCTAACAGTTAGAGGAGTGCGGTGTTAACCGCACTTACTATCACTGTTAGGCAGCCGTACACATCCGGATTAGCAAATCCCGATGTGTACCAGCATTTTTCTGAATGTTTCAGCATAGAAGCATTCAGCAAAAGCTGCCTGTTTCAGGCTTCTGATAGTTGTGGCAACCAGCCACAATGATCAGAATTCTTTAGTGACATCTGACACTAACATGCTGCAGTACATGTCAAGGTCAGTGTCACTAAGGTTATTATTGGCTGTCCCTGAGTTTGGGGCAGCCCAATAATAACCAAAAATGAATTTAAATGATCAAGCAGTCATAGGGACATCCATTCACAATGACTGCTTGATATATTTGACAAGCCAGTACAAACACTGGCTTGTCATGTCTCCCCCCTTCTCTCCCTGTTAGTTATTTAAAGTTAAAATGTGTGAAAAAATAAAACAAAATGTATAAATATTATATTTTGTACTATACATTCATAAAAAATTAACCCCTCACAGTGAAAATCTGCAGCTGAGCTGCACATTTGGTTTTCACCCTAAGGGGTTAGTTTTTTAATTTAGCCCCCTCATGCCGGCGATGTTCAACGTATGTCGCTGTCACTAAGTGTCACACTTAGTGACAGTGGCATTGTATGCCACCTGTCTCACCTAGTGACCACTATTTGCTTTTAGAGAAAAAAATTAAAATGTTAGCTCTCAGTTTTAGGCTGAGAAGTACAGAAACATTAATGAAATCCTAGGGATGTGAGGTGTTTCCAAATAAAGCACATATAAATGAATTTATTTTAATTATTTATTTTTTTTAGCTGTGCTATTTTTCTAAAAAATAATAATCAAAACTTGGGAAAAAGTGTTTCCTTTATAATTTATTTTGTAAATATTTTATTCGTGCTACATGAGGCGTTGTGCACACATATGTGATATAAATATATAGCCCTATCTGTCCTCTAAAAAACAATGTATAATATGTGTGGGTGCACTTCGTAAGAAAGTATATTACTGCCGTGGAAGAATCACACAGCAAACATGTAAAGAGTGCGTCAGTCAATAACGAACAGAAACGGAAAAAGAGGCTCAGTCATGAACGTGTTAACTGAAATCTCGCAACAAGGCACAACATTCTTGCTTATCCCAAAAAGATGATTTTATTCATAGATCATAACAAAACCCCAACCCACAATTAATAAAACCATAATTAAAAGCCTCCACTCCCAGTAACTGTCTTTCAACCCAACTATATATACATTTCACACAAGTTGTCATTAAGGGCAATGGAAACATATTCCCTTTTACCCTCAGCACACTGTCCGCATACATATTCTTATATTTGCAGTACACTAGACCAGGGCTCAAAATTCCAGGTCCTGAGCTACTAGCCAGGCCTTCGAAGTTACTCGCCACCAGTTGCCCTTCACAACACAAACAAACACACACAGGGCACAACGCACATACAGCCACAGCACAACGCACAGGACATTACACATACAGCCACAGTACAACGCACAGAGCATTACACATACACATTTCATCTGAAATACATTTTTAGTATTCGCACATGTCTAATAATATGCGTGTGAGGGGGGGCGGGGGGCAGTTTTAACTTTTTTTAAATAATTTTATTATTTATTTATGTACTGTTGGGGGGGGGCTACGGGGAAATATTAGGGGTCCAAACAGACTGCTGACATTTCCCTTTTAAAATAGAAAAGAAATTGAGGACACCAAATCCTCAATTTCTATTTTCTACAGCCTCAGCACTCAATGAATGGGAGGCACTCAGTACAGAGGCTTCCCATTCAGTCAGACACTGATAGTAAAATATTTACTATCAATAGTTTCTGAATGGGGAGGAGCCTCTGTACTGAGTGCTACTCCCCATTGGTGAAATCCAGAATGAACAGGCTGTAATGTAAATCACCGCCTGTTCATTCATAAGTGGGGACACATGTCATTTATCATGTCCCCAGTTATTTACAAACACTGGAGTGATCAGACGATCGCTCCAGTGTTTGTCCTTCTCACACGGAGGATCGGTAAATATCAATGATATTTACCCATCCCCCGCTCTGCCGCGCACAGAGCCGCTGTCATCCTGAAACTGACAGGATGACAGCGGCTCCGATCTCCTCGCCGCCTGCCATCCTGACAGCTGCGAGCGCGGCTTCTCTCCCCCTCGGGGCGGCTTCTCTCCTTGCGGCTTCTCTCCCGCTCGGCCATCCTGACAGCAGGCAGCACTCCCTCCTGCGACCCCGGACGGAGGGACGAGGGAGCGCTGTCATCATGTCGGTGAGGAGGAGAGAAGCCACCCCGAGGAGTGCCTGACTCAATGGCTTCATTTCCACTCGCCCCCACGCAATTTTCACTCGCAATTTGCGAGGGGGCGAGTGGAAATTTTGAGCCCTGCACTAGACTACATGATCACATCAAAATCATCCATAATGGCTTAGCCTCTTGATTTCAATGGGGCATTTTGTGTATTTGTAATGCCCTGGGTTGTATAATGTATATTAAAACTATCCGTTTATAGCGTCATCCCTTTGTTTTATTCGGTAATATTCCAAAGACGTTATCTACGATCATGCACTCAAACTGTTAGCACACACACACTGGATTAATCGCCATGCTGATATCTTGTCATTCTTAGTCCACAACCCAATAACAAGACCACTCCTCTCTGAGGTTGTGGATAACGTCGTCTGATTGTTCACATTTTCTTCTGCGTAAACTAATATTTCTGTCCTGACCCTTTTTTCTTTTTTTAATTCTCACAAAGTATAAAACAATGTCAAAATACTTAATTTTTCTGTAAACTCCTGTCATTTGTTTTCAAGCAAAAGCACCTTGATCCGACTGCTCTTCCGGTTTTATGAGCCTCAGAAGGGAAACATATATGTGGCTGGTCAGAACATTCAAGATGTCAGTCTGGAGAGTCTGAGGAAAGCAATTGGCGTTGTTCCCCAGGTATGATTTTAGGCATAAAACTGTACTGAAAATAGTGAAAGACCTAAACTTCCTTACCCTTCAACAAGGAGGCACACATGTATTTGGCTAATCAAGATCGTATTAAGTTATATGGCACCAGTGTACCATTATTCAGAAAATTGAAACGATACCCAGTGAAAAGGTGTCAGTACAAGCACTGGAAATAAAAGGGCAATAACAGTAATTTTAGGGAAAGTCTGCAGACATTATTTAGAAATGTTTTCTCTTACGTTCAAGGACACAGCCGAATCTTCCTTTTACGGAAGGGTAATATACCACTTGCAGGAGTAGGACACTACGCAGACAAAAAAACAACAAAGCACAGCCCTGGGGGTGGCCCCTGCTAGGGGCTCAGCCCCCCACTTGTTAGAAGTAGCTCCGTTTTTTGCCTATTGTCAAGGAATAAGGGCCTAGCTCCCTGCTGGGGATCTTAGTTCTTTTTCTTTTACTTTCTTTTTGTTTATTTTTTCATTGATCTGGATAATATAGATCCTTGTAGTCTACCCAGCTTGGCCTACGAGCACATGCAGATCCTTAGCTACATGTGGATTCGGCGGCAACAGTCCCCTCTTGGATCCAGGGCAGCCTGTGAGTGTTCCTCACAGGGGACGCATATGACCGACTGGGCTGGTTTGTCACAGTGTCCCCCCTGGCTATCTGAGGCGATCTGATGTGAGAGAAGGTACCCTATCCTCTCCCTGGAGTGGCAAGTAGTGCTCTCTTCCCTGCTGGGTTGTTACCAGGAGCAGACACGGGTGCCTCTCCTCATTTAGTGCCCTGTACGCTGGCTAGATCGGTCCCTTTCCCTAGGTCCCCTTCTGCCATGCCTGCAGCTGTGTTTTCAACATAATAGTAGGTTTAAAAAAAAAAAGCATGGTTTATATAGGTAAGTGTGTGTGTATGTGTATATATAAGAGGTGAAACTGAAAATTAAAAAAAATGTCTGGCCGAAACCAAATATGTTTTTTTCCTAACTTTTTCAAAATATTTTAAATATTTTATTTTAGGGCTGAGGAAATTAACGATTAATTCCTCGATTAATCGTTAAA